GGCAAGCAACCTGAAGCCGGGCTTCTCCAACGGTCTCATAAAGCGAGGGCCGTGGTGTGGCTGTCACGGGGCAGGTGACAGGCTCGTGCCTGGCAGGCAGGTCTAGTGGACAAGCCACCCTGAAGAGAGGGCACCCCGAGCAGGCAAGTCAGGGGCTGCTAAAAGACGATTCCCTGCCCTCGGTGTCCCCTGGGTCCCCAGGAAGACCACAGTAGCACTGGGAACGGAGCTGCCTCTCGTTGTCCTTGGCACTGGGATGCCAGGCGGCTTCTGGGCACGCGCTAAGAGTGAGTGAGGGGTCCCACCCTCCCCACCCGGTCGCTCTTGAATGCAGGACAGCTATGGAAACTAACTTGTTCAGAGCAACACTTATGGTGCATTCGAAATCTTCATCGGCACTGGCAACGGAAGCAAAACAAATGTCTGAGTGTTTGTAAGGCAGGCAACATGGAGAGCAGATTCAGGACTAAAAGGCATGATGAAAGCAAATAAGTTGATATTTCTATGAAATGTGCTAGAGGTCTGTGGTGACCAGCATCTATTGGACTTCACCGCGACTCTGCTCGGGGCTCTGCGCTCGGCCAGGACAATGACAACAGAGCACAGGGCTGGCCTTCAGGGCTCGTCACAGAGATAGACCTAGCCTGAGGTCAAGTCTCACCAGGCTGCTGACAGGGACAGGGGCTCTCGAGGTTCTAGCCACAGGATCTGAAAGAGCACATCAAGGTCCACTTGAGAGTGGGTGGGGATCCTGACTTACCATCAGTCACTAAGGGCCAATGAATCCCGGAGGGAGCGTCTTTGCTCAGAGCTAGATGAGGGGACGTGACTTTGGACAGAGACAATGTGGGGTCCTCTCCTTCCTGTCCTGGCTTTGTCTTTGTGGACTTCCATGCTCCATTGGGCTACAGAGAGACGTCTGGGCTCACAGGGGAGGTCTGAGTCCAACCAGGCCACTCACGCACTGGGCCTTGGGAATGCCAGTGGCCGCCATCCGCCATCCAGATGAGCTCTGCTTCCCTCTGCTCACACCCTGGAGGCCCAGGCAGAGAGAGGGGACCGTTGCTCCCTAAGGCCAACAGGAGGCAGGAGATCCCTGCTGTTGGATTCTTAAGATCCCTGCCCTTGGATTCCTGCAGATCCAACTCCTCCACTCTTTCTTTCTTTCCTTCCTTCCTTCCTTCCTTCCTTCTTTCTTTCTTTCTTTTTAACTTGCAGAGGTTTTGACCTCTGGAAATAAATGAGCCAGGGTGCGGGGCATGGGCTCTGTAAGACCAGGTGCTGATCCAAGAAGCCTGGGAAACAGCCACCAGGAGCGGGAGAAACCAGCAGGGGGTCTGGGAGAGGAAGGTGGGAGAGAGGCAACGCAGATTCCTAGGGAGGGAGCCAGTGCCCGGTGACCTGGGGTCCCTGGTCTGGAGGCCACTGTGGCTGCCAAGAAGCGGAATGGCAGCAGTGTGGGCCTGGGTGCAGGGCCAGGGTGGCTGAGAAAACACACACCAACAACACACAGAGAGGAAGGAGCTGACTGCGGGGACGGCTTCACCAGGGCAGGGCTGGGCCGGAGGAAGCTGAGCTGTGGACACAGGCCTCCCAGCAGAGAAGCCCTGGGGGCTCCTTCTGGCACTTTCTGTCTCAGTGGAGACTCCAGGCTGAGGGGACCAGGGGCGGTGGGACTGGCTTTCCCTGGGCACAGCAGCCCGTGTTCCCAGTCCTCGCCATCCCCTGCAGCCCGTCTGTGCAGGAGAAGACCTGTCGCGTGGCTGGCCCTGGTCGCCCACCTCTAAAGCGGTCAGACTATTTAGAGCACGGCTCTCTTCCGTGTTCCTGCCCGATGACCTCAGGTCCTCCAGTACCAAGCAGAACGAATCCTCTTTGCTATTCTCTTGATTGCTCCTCCTCTGTTCTCTTTTCTCTTCTGAGCTTTTTATATAACCACTCGTCGCTGTTAGGGAGGACTGGACTGAGCCACAGACAACTGTCGCCCGTGGTTACTCCAACACAGAGCAGCGGTCAGCCCGCCCTCAACCCAAGACACCACCCTCTKATGAGGATTGTCACCTGGACTGAAATCCTGAGGCACACCTTGTTGGATATGGAGCAGTGACCATCACAAAGAATGGAGGGGTGACCACAGGATGCCCCCCAATGACCCCTAGCCATGGCTTGACCACAACGCTCCTCCGCCCCTCACTGTCCTGTGACTCCCCTAAGCTGTAAGTGGACCATGGCTCCAATCTCCACGTGGGCSCCTTCTGCAGSCYGGCCTGGACTGAGCCWGACCTGCTGAGCCGCCCTCTCTGTCTCCTTCCCCCGACTCCGTCCTGACGGTCACCACGGGCCCCTCTTTCTGAAYCTCTACGTCCCGCTCCCTCGCTCTGCCTCTGCTGCTTTCTACGTCACAGGTCCTGCCCGAGGCTTCCAGGTGCTGTGCTCAGCTCTGGAACYCGTGACTTTATTCCAAGAGTCGTGTGTGGTCCTCCTCCTCCCCCTTTCTCGTTGTTCCTTCCTGAAGGTCACCCTGTCCTCTGAGATTCATAGAAGATGTTTAATTCTATGATAGGGAAGTTAACGCCTCCTCTTGTTTTCTGTTATTTTGAGCTTTTCTACTTCTGGTCCCTGTGGGTCTCGCTTTCTTMGGCTGGTGATGTCCTGATCACCATCTGGAATGTCCAGCCCAGGTGYGGAACCCCTCCTGGCTGTGTGTCCCCCAGATGGTGTCCTTGCCGTTCACCTTGGGGGTGCACTTTGCTGAAGCCTTAGCTGGGGAGGGGGCTTCACAACCTGCAGAGTGCAGAGCTGTTCTTAAAGGCCTGGCCTCTGCCTGGACGCCTCTGCCCCCTCCTGCCCTCCCCTGGACCCTGGCAGAACCCCCTTCATCTGACTCCAGGACCCTCTTTGTTTCTCTGTGGATTTTCTAGGTCTAAAACCTCTTGCCAAGCCTCTTCTCTCCTTAAGAGAACTCAGGCTTCTGCTAATAAATTTTGAATGCCCTGATGCACCAATTTAAAAAAAATTTTGGAAGTTCCTCGTTATTTCCTTTACCAAGTCCTCGGGGTGAGACGTCTTTGCTCTGCTGATTCAACTTGGTGCTACTGCTGGTAGCTAATTTTCCTCACGGATCTATTCTTTCTCATACATAAGCAAAAAACAGACTGCTCCTGTTTCTCAAGAGGCAGCTGCTCCTCGGTATTGGAACCTGGTGTGGGTTGCCTAGAAGCAGCTGTCCGGGTCAGGGTTCAGTTCTTCTTTCTGGTGACTTCCTATGTCTTTTCTTAAGTGGGGCTTATGTGGAGTTTACTGACTATGTAATAAGGGCGGTGCTTCCAGCAGTAAAATGTGGAGTGCCGGGAGTGTCCCAGGAGGTGCAACCCACTGATCTTCTCTCAGAGGCTCACATGGAAGAGCACAAGACAGACTCGTCACCCTCTGCCCTTGTTTACTATCCGGGTTCACTTTTGTGATGCATCTGGTTACTTTGGGTGCCAGTTCACTTTGTCTCTCTATGTGATTGCATTAGGGCCAATACACCAATCACAAAATTCATGGTTAGCATACAGTTATATAATGCCCAGTTAACTAATTGCACCCTAAAAAAAATCTCTGCAAAATGCCAGGTGCAAAAAGCTTGTGGTATTGTAATGTGAACTCTTGCACTAGCTTCCGGGAGTGTAAATGAGTACCACCCCTTTGGAAAATTGGTCGATCATACCTGTCAAAACTAAAGGTTCAGATGCAAATTGGCCCAGAAATCCTTCCCCTGGGTGTATCTCAACACAAAGGAGTGGGCATGTCTATGAATGGTCAGCATATACCTAATCATAACTGCTAAAAACAGGCAACAACCCCAAATATCTAACAATAGTGGAAAAAGGAAAAGAAAAATGTCGTATGTTTATAAAACAGTACTGTACAGCGGTGTATACCAAGGCAAGCGGCTCCCTCAGTCAGCAYGTCGGGAAGAACACTGTAGGGCCAGGCGTGGCCTGGAGGAGTTGTTCCCACTGGCCCCTTTCTTCCTCCTCCTCGATGACTTCTCTCCAACCTGAAGAGCCGGGTTGCCACCGTCCTCTTGCCTCTTGCTGGAAGTCTGGCTGCGAGCTGTTTCTACATAGCATTTTAAGCATTGTGGTGAGAACAAGCCCAAAGTCACATTTCCAGTGCTAAATATAATTCGAGAGACAGTCTGATTAATCTAATCAGAGATTACAATCTAGAGACTTAGGATCTAATTAGGAGCCTGGAATCTCATTAGAAACAAGAAAACACAAATGAAACACTTAGAGAACTTAGTATTACTTCGTCTTTTTAAAAAAGGTCCACGTTCAGAGGTGCAGTTTCCCCCAGACATTCGGGAGAAAGAATCAACGAGAAATGGAGTGGTGACTGACATTCCTGGAGAGAGAGAGGTTTTGAAAGTCCACATGCAGACCAGATTCCAGCTGGCTGCTTCCTGGGGCACTTGCTGAGAGCCGCGTAGGGACAGCCTTTCCAGAGCCAAAGTGGGGTTAGCCAGGAGACAGGATGTCCATCAACTGGGAGATAAACCATGAGGAACTGCAGCTCTCTCAGGASAGCCAGACTTGAACTCCAAGCTCCCACCAGCCTGAGCCCTGGCAGCCAGGAAAACCCACAGTCAGAGGAGTGTAGGGGTCAGGAAACCCGAGGCCAGAACCCAGCTACACGCCAGAGACTGGGACCCTTTCCTGATAATGAAGCACTTAGGATTCCTGCATTTAAAAATGAGGTCCCACCGGCTGACCTTCAGAAGAGCTCATGGGGTATGGGGCGGGGGGAGGGCGTGGATCAAGATCTCCCGAAGGCTTTCTCCTCTTAGATCACGTTTATGTCACACACACACTCTTCCTGGCTCCCGTGTTGGCAAGGAATTCAGAATTTATCTAAACTTGCCAGGCGCGGGTGGGTGGAGCAGGGAGGGGAATAGAAGGGTTGGCAGATCCCTGAAGACAACTAGCACTCCCTGCAGAGAGGTTCCAGCCACAGGAGTCGGATCCCTTTGCTCTTGAAACAGCTCTCTGGCTGCAAGAAAATCCTATCAGATGTGTTACCAAGCAAATTGAGATTTCCAGTCCCTCCGGGCCAGTGTGGCAAGCATCTTCTACTCCCTGGGAGCTGCTTTGTGCTTTTGGCACTTTCTACCTGGGATGGAGCAGAGGTATGGTTGATAACCTTCCCCACTGAAATAGGGTGTGCCTTTGTAGTAGTTTGTCTCTGCTTTGGTGACTGGGTGTAAGAACAGAGAGCTCTTGGTGGGAGGTGGAGGGGTTTGATGCGAAGGCAGTTTTTAAACATAGGGTCTTTGAGCATCTCTGAGCTGCAGCTCACCCAGCTGCCTGGCCATGGAGATAGCCTGCCCTGGGCAATCTGTCTCCTGGAGCCTTCTCTCTCTGGCCTGCGTCCACTTTGCCCACCCCCACCTCCTTCTCCGTAGCGCCCCCTCAGTTTTCTCTGGTTGCTGGCAGATCTTCCCGAATCGGCAAGTTTCCTTCTCTCAACACATTTCTTCCTGTTTTGCTCAGAGCATAGAAAGCTTTCAGACCAAGAGAGATGCTTCAGAACAGAGGTTAAAAAGGCCTGGGAACTCAAAGCCTGGACTTGAGGGCTGCTCTGAACCAAGAGGTACACTGAATTTACGGCCCCAGAGTGCAGCCAGTCTTAAAGCACCCACTGACAAAAGGCTGACTGCTCTGTGGGGTAGGTGAGGTTTTGGTGGGCTGGGTCAGAAAGCCCTGGCCATCTGTGGTGTGTTCCTGTGGGGAAACATCAACTGCAATACAAATAAGACTTCAGACCACTGTTTACTCATAAGCTGGGGCACTTTCCATTGCACCTGGGATTTTTTCAATGTCTATCAAGTGCCAATGCAACATTTGCTGAGCTCCAGGTCCCCAGCGAACTTGAAGCTAATGTAAGATGAGAAGGGTGTGTGTCAAAACCCAGCTTCAGGGAGGGTTTCACAAGGTCATTCCCAGCAATGCTTGGCCATTCCCAGCAATGCTTGTTTCCTCTCAGCAAACATTTAGGGAAAGCCTCAAGTTTGCCGAGTGGTGGATGGGAGGCGAACTGACGCAGATGTGGCAATGTTATGGGCCAGGCTATGAGGACAATGACCTAGCAGACTCCATGTCATGTAAGAAACGCTTCTCCCATGGGAACACCCCGCCTCTGTACCCCTCCACAGCTGCTGAGCATAGCATGTTTGGCAACGACAAATTCTTATATACTGTAAAGTTTTTCTCTCTTTGGATCCCACTTTTCTTGAACATTCCCCGTCAGAGAATGACTGTCTAGATGTTAGTAACCCATCTCCAACTTGTACTCAACTAGGGTCATTTTGACCCGCTCCTTCTTCTGCTTATGATTTTAAATCCCATGACACTTGTTCATGGTTTTGAATCATAGCAATAGCCACTCACGATTGATTGATGTGGTTTTGAACTATAAATGCTGTACTCTGACCCTTGGAGGAGGTCAAAGGTGTAGACTTGCAGCCCGCCCCTTGGCCCGCCAGCTGGTTGGTGAATAAAGATGGTTCCATCTCCTGCTTTCAGATCTACTCTGTGGTGTATTGCGACCTCGCCATAACATTTTCTCCTCTCCTGTGGCTAGTGGCTTTCTAGGGAACAGAGACATGAATCAATCTGATAATTAAAAACAAAATGCCAGTTTTTCCAAGTCATACTGAAGGGCAGAAGGTGGCGTCCTGASAGCGTGCATTCCCTGTGGTGGGAGTCCCCTTACCAGGCCCTGGGAAGAGCTTCCAGCAGACACACGTGGGATGGGGACCAGAAAAGGGGCGCTGATTCTGTGAAGAAGAGACCAGAGGCTCAGAGTCCACATCTGGGGCTGCGCTTTGAGGAAGAGAAGAAGGTAGCGTCGTCGTGCCTTTAGGAGGAAGAGCACCGTCGAACATGGGCTAGAGGAAGTGGTCAGTGTTCAGAGATCACAATACATAGGTCTGGAGTCCGCCCACTGTTCCTGGCTCCTAACTCCCTCCCCAGGTCGTAGAGGCAAGGATTTCTCTTCCCGGAGGGAGGTCATAGAAATTCTCTTCTCCCTGCCCTGGACTTGCCCCCAACCTTCCGACGTCCCTTGTCCGAGGAGATCAGGAGACCCCGTCTCAGAGCGGTCCTGCCCACACCCGGAGGACAGACGTGCTGCACAGAGGCCCAGAGAGTCTGCACGGAGCTCGCTTCCCCACGGCACCCCACAGGAGGGCAGACCCTCTGTCCCACCGCTTTTGACACGCTGTCCTGACACGGTGAAGTCTCTGTGGAACCCCAGGGACAGGGTCTGGAGGCTCCTGCACAGCGCCGGAGCTTCTGCCCAGGGGCGGTAGCGGCCACTCCCAGGTCTTCCTTGGAGCAACGTCTATTTAAATCCCTTGGCCCTTTAAACATTAGGTTTACTTGTCTCCTTATTATTGAGTTTCAAAGTTTTTAAATATCTAATTTGCAAATATTTCCTTTTAGCTCATGGGCTGTTTCTTTCTTTTTCCTTTTTGTGCCAGGGATGGAGCCCAGCAGAGCTTACCCACTGAGCCACATCTCCAGGCAGCTGCTCATTTTTTATTTTGAGACGGGGCCTCGATAAGTTGCTGAGGCTGGCTTTAAACTTTCCACCCTCCTGCCTCGGCCTCTTAAGCCACTGGGACTACAGGTGTGTGCCACCCGGCCTGGCTATTCCCATTTTTAAAATATAAGTGAACCAGAGATATTCTTTGCATATGGGCCCTAAGTTGTTTATTTCTTCGCGGCAGGGGGAGACCCGTTACCCCAAAGGTTGGCAACCTCCAATTTAAATTTTTACATATCCAATTGTTTAGCCCTTGGAGCCTTCCCTACTTACCCGGTGACACACACAACACCCTAAACTTTAGAGATGATCAGCCCAAGTGTTATAAGACCAGAAATTGTGGCTGCCTTTGGGCCCTTGGACCCAGAACCCCCCCCCAGTGCTGGTGCCGAGCATCACCCAGATGCTAAGCCACCTGTCCAGTCCTGTCCCTTGGAAGTTCCCTGGCTCTCCTCCCAGCTGGAGGGGACCCCCAGAGCCTCAGTCAGTATCGGGAGCTGAAGGCCTTCCTCCTGCGTGCCTGTTCAAGCYGCACCTGAAGAAGGCTTTGCCTCTCACAGCCTCACCTGCAGTCTTATGGCATAGCTGATTCTTTGATCGGCACAGAAATCTGTGAACTCGACCCCTCTGGTTTTCTTCGAAAAGGTTTATGATTTTAGTGATTGTGTTTAGGTCCGTGATTCATTTTGAGTTAATTTTTGTGTGTGATTTTGAATGGGGTACAATTCATCCTTTTCATGTGGCTATTTATTTGTCCCAGAACCATTTATTGAGATTATTTTGTCCCYTCATTGAATGGTCTTGACACTTTTGTTGAGAATTAATTCACAAATTATACATGGGTCTATTTCTGGATTCTCAACTTTATGCCATTAATTTCTGTTTATACTCAGGCCAGGACTACACCATCTTGATTCTTGTAAATCTGTATTAAGTTTTGATATTGATAAGTGTGAATCTTTCACTTTTTGATCTTTTTAAAGTTTGTTTTTAACTATTTTGAATCTTTTTTGTGTTCATCGGAATTTTAGAGTCAGTTTGTCAATTTCTGGAATTCGGATGGGAATTGCATTCAATCTGTAGGTAAAGTTAGGGAGTATTGCCATCTTAAAAATATTAAATCTGCTGATCTATGAACATGAAATAGATCTTTATTTAGGTCTTTAATTTCTTTCAATGTGTTTTATAATTTTCCATGTACAAATCTTGTGCTTCTTTTATTAAATTTATTCCTAAGTGCCTTTTTTTTTTTTTTACTATATTTCACATGGAATTGTTTCCTTAATCTATTTTGGACTGTGCATTACTAGTGTATTGAAATGCAGTTAACTTTTGTATATTGATTTTGTAGATGAAATTTTGCTGAGTTTGTCTATTAGGTCTAGAAAAATTTTTTGACAGGATTTTCTAAAAGCAAGGTCGTATTTTCTGCAAATAGTTCCACACTTCCTTCTCTGTCTTATGACTTCCACTTACTTATCCTAACTAGCCTGACTGCAAATGTTGGATGAAATGCAACCTCCAGTGACATGCTGAAGAAATGTCATTCTTGTTTGTCTCCCCCCGATTTTAGGGAGAAAGTATTCAGTTTTCACCAGTAAGTACGATGTTACCTGGGTTGTTGTTGTTTTTTTTTTTTTTTCATAGAGTCCTTGCATTAGATTGATGAAATTATCTTTTGTTCTTACTTGGTAAAGTTTTTCTTATTTTTTAAATCATGAAATGGTATTGGACTTTTTCAATTTTTCCTGCATCTTKTGGTCACATCATGTGGCTCTCTCTTGTTCTGTTCATATGGTGCACTGCATTAGTCGATTTTTAGATGTCAACCAATCTGACTTTCCTGGTGGACGATCCATGTTAATTCTTCTCTGTGTGTTTGGTAGAATTCACCAGCAAGGCCACCTGGGCCTGGGGTTTTCTAGTGGAAAGACCTGTTTTCCTCTTTGGTGCTGGGAGTTGAACTCGTGCCTTCTGAGCACATGCWTCTGAGCACAGGCTCCACCACTCACCTCGGCTTCTACCTGTGGGAAGCGTCTTACTTACTGTCAATGTCTCTATCTGTAACGTGTTTGTTCCGTTTTTCTATTGCTTCATGAGACCGTCTCGGGAAGTTGTGTTCTTCTGGAATTTTCCCCACTGAACCTAAGTGGTCTAGTTTGTTGGAGCAGAGTTGCCCACAATGCTCTCACCACCTTTTCACTGTCTGTGGGACTCGTGGTGACGTGGTGAGGTCCCCTCTTTCATATCTGACTTCTGTGATCTGCACTTTTCTTTTGACCTTGGTCAGTCTACCCTAAAAGATTTGTCAAGGTTGCTCTTTATAACCTTCATTTATTGATTTTTTTGCACTGTTTTTATTTTCTACCTCTTTAGCTTCCATTCTGTCATTATTTCCTCCTTCTCCTTGTCTTGGGTTTAATTTGCTCTTCTTTTTTCCGGATCTACTGTTGACGTCATGTGTTACTGATTTAGGATCTTTCTTCTGTTCCAGGACACCATTTGATCTACACATCTGCCTCACGTCTTGCTTGGGCCGTGCCCTCTGACATGGCCAGCTCTGACTGCTGTCCCCTCTCT